AGCTGACCCGGCCGTGCCCTGTGAGGGCAGGGAAGCCCATCTGACCCCGGGGAGAAAGGGTGAGGCCTGGGACAGGGACAGGGAGCCTGACACTAGGACAGCCCACTGTCAATACTGGGTTGGTCCTGAGGGGCTCCCTGGGATGGGACATTTCTCTGCCTGCTTCTAAGATCAACTTATCTGGGGCCACTAAGGGCTACATGAGGATGAAGCCCTGAAACCTGGCCACTCTCTGTCCTGTAGTGGGGAGCCTTGTGTGGGCTGCAGACTGCTGGGGCTCCGTGCCGAGGGGACTGCTTCCCGAGTCGGCCCAGCACAGCAACCTGCTTCCCTCCTTCCTTTGTAAGGCCTTGCAGTGGGAATGGCTGAAGACCAGAGGCCCAAACAGAACAAGAAATTACACTTTCTCAACATGATAATGACACTGAACCCTGATCCCTGCAAAGAAGTTTCCATTCCTATGGGACCAAGAAGGGCCACCTCCCAGGCACAGGGAGGGCAGGCTTGGCAGGTGTGGCGGGCACAGGCAAAAGAGCAGAATGACGGGTGGCGGGCGTGCAGGCATCCTGGCCAGAGGGGTGGAGAGGAGAGGCACTGAGGGCACCTTACAGTTGGAGTGTCTGCCCAACAGGACGCCCCCTCAGCTTGGCATCTGTCTGTGCCCCTGGCCAGAACTTTTGTCCTCCACAGACCAATCCTGATGCCACCTGCTGCTTTACCTCTTTGCTCAGCGTCAGCAGAGCCTCCCACCTGAGGGGGCTAAGGAGGGTCCAAGCTGCCAGGCCTGTCCTCCCCTGCCTCAGGGAGGAGGGCACTGCCAGCCCTACCTTGAGGGTTTCCCTCGCTCTGCCAGTGTCTGCCCTAAGCAGCTCAAGTCGCTGCGTCCTCTGCACCCCACTGCCTGCCTGTCCCCAGCCCAGCCCCTCACCATAATGAATGCTCTCCTCTTCTAGCCCCAGTCACAGGCCCGATGCTTCTGTCAGGGTTCCCTGCCCATCACAGCTCCCAGGTGGCATTTCACAGAGGCTGGTCAAGCCTCCCTCCAACCTCTCATCCCTGCTTCTCCCTGGTCCTTCGCTGCATCACCACCCCTGCCTGCGACCCAGGAGCCTGCCGGCTTCTCGTGCTTGGTCAGCTGCTAAAAGGGCTTGCTTCTTCTGGGCCTGTCCTCTCACTGAGCACCACTGAGGTTCATCAGCCAGGGGGTTCTCCATGGTGGAGGGGGTGGTGCTCATATGTCTGTATTTTATTTTAAGAGTTATTTATTTCTATTGGAAAGGCAGATCTACAGAGAGAAGGAGAAACAAAGATCTTTCATGTGCTGGTTCACTCCCCAAATGGTCACAAAGATAGCAGCTGAGCCAATCCAAAGCCAGGAACCAGGAGCTTCCTCTGGGTTTCCCAGACAGTGCAGGGACTCAAGAACTTGGGCTGTCCTCCACTGCTTTTCCAGGCTACAAGCTGGGAGCCAAATAGGAAGTGGAGCAGCCAGGACATAAACCACTGCCTACATGGGATCCCAGCACAAGATATCTGCGGAGTCCCTAACCAATCGTAATCGTTTACGACCTGACCTGCAGCTCCGGCCTGCCTAGTTGGAGTTCAGGCCCTGTTCTTTCCACACCCTGAGCTGTAGAATCCTGTCCCACAGGTCTTTCATACTCCCCTGGCCCCAGAGCTTCTCTTCCACTCCACACCTGACCCTCTTCCCATTCTCTCCCAGCAAATGATACCGCCTCAGGCCATGGGGCAGGTCCATACCTCCTCTTAATTTAGCTACAAATCCTCATGGCGTCCAGAGTTACCCTCCGCTGAGCAGCCCCCAGCCTCTGGTTCAGCCACATCCATGGGGGAAGGTCCTGCCCTGCCCTTGTAGGCCATCATCTTTCCACATCCCATGTGTTAGCTGCATGCCTTTGGACTGTTTGTTTATCCTGTCTGTGCCTCAGTGTCCTCATCTGTAAAGTGGGCATTGTAGTTTCTGCCTGTTGGAACTGCAAGCACTAATAAAGTACTAAGCTCTTGGCACAGGGTCTGGCACTGGGTAGGTGTTTGGCTGTGATGGGGGTGAGCCACGGCCTCGGCCGCCCCCTTCCCACACCACCTACCATCCTGACCTCTTGTACCTGTGCCTTTGTGAGAGCCTCTCAGAACCAGATCAGCCTCCCCTCAGTTGCTAGGGAGCTCCCTGGGATCTACCATATGTAGCTCCGTCTCCACCCGAGTATTATCAAGACGTGATCTCTTTGAGGTATTAACTTGGGGAGTTAACCAACTACGGACACCCACAATGGTTAAGAATACCTGGGCACTGCCTGCATTGGCTCCAAGCAAGTTCATGAACCCCTCAGCTGCAGCTTTCTTGTCTGTGAAATGGGAATGAGACGAGCCGGTACGTCACAGCATGGAAGTGAACTTTCAATTAAATAATTGGTGGGAAATAATAAGGCCAGTAAATGTGAGCTGCTGTTCTCGGTGGCAGTTGCTATGGTTCGTTGAACACACACACACAGGAGAACAAGAGGGTAACAGCCACTGTGGGAAATAGAAACACAACTTGAGTGTTCATAGGACACCTGCAGAGAGCTAAGTGGTGCTGAGGAAATGTCCAGAGTGCTGGGTTGTACAAGGTTTGAGGTCTTTCCTGAAATAACTTCTTAATGAAAATTTTTTTTAAAAAGTTTTTTCCCAGTATTCGTTATAGGCCATGAAAGAACTGTCACAAAAAATGTATTTCTTCAGCCTAGTTTCTTTTATCAAAAGTCTGACTTATTTAGGAAAGGCCGCGGGGCTGGTGTGTGTGGTTTTCCTGAGAGACTACAGGCTGCAGGTGGAGAGAAAAAGCGAAGGATAGTGGCCGTGGTTACTGTCAGAAAGGGGTGGAACACTCCGGGGGAGGATGGACGCCTAGAAGGGTGGAGTTGCTGGACCACTCCCTCCCTGAACGAGGGGCTGGGGGGTGTTTGAGTGTGGGTGGGCCTCTGAGAGGAGCCCCAGCTCCTTACAGGCTGGGAGACCCCAGGCAGCTGCTTTCCTGCACCCAGGTGGGGCTCACGCACACCCAGGCTCTGGATTCAACTCTTCTGCAAGGCCGATCACCACCCACACGCACACTCCTAGAACTGTACTGGCCTCTAGGCCCACAGTTCACAGAACAGCCCTAAGTCCTGTCTGGGTCCTGAGGGCCCCAAAGCTGGCAGCTGAGCTTTTCGCCCCAGCATAGGCTTTGATGCGCACCAGGCAGTCACTCCTTTTAAGGAGCTCCATTACATGAAGGGAAGCCAGCCGTGGCTGTTCTTCATTGATCCTAGCAAGCACAGGGCAAGGGACCACAGGAGAGTGGCCACTCCTAATGCCCCCTCGCCACTGACCTTCAATGCTATCCTCCATTTGTCACACGCCTCTAGTCTTTCCTTCGGAGCAGGTGGTAACTCTTGGCCCGGTGGGGCTCTCTACACCCTGGCTTAATTAGAAGGGAGCAGCAACCTTAAGAGTTTAAAGGGCTCAGCTGCGTTCGAGCAGGAGTCTCGGCAGAGTTAAACACGGAAGCAGCACGTTGTCAGCTTTCTAAGGGGAAAAGGCCAGCAAGGGGGACGCCCAGCAAGGTCTCAAGGTCCCCGAAGCTGCTGGCAGGTGGCTGTGGCTGACCCGGCCTCTGCCCCCAGTGGGGGCAGCTTGGAGACCAGCTGCATGGTGAGCACGGTGAGCACGGCGAGCTGGGCTGTACTCAGCAGGCTTCTACTGCCTTTCCGTCCACTCGGGAGGAGAGACCGCGCGGGCACGTTGGGATCTTTTACCACAAGCAGAGGCAGGGAGCCTCTCCTACCTGGCACAAGGTGGAGGCAGCGCTGTGTCCCGAAAGGGGGCCCAGTCGCCCTAGGTGCGTGTGAGCGTGTGCGGTGAGGGGTCTCTCGTGGCAGGCGTAGGACGCCTCCCTGGAAAAGCGGCGCAGTGTTGGTGTAGTTGAACCCAGACTCCAGCCAGGTCCTATGCAGTTGCGGGCAGTCAGGAAAGCAGGATGAACTTTCTGGAAGAGGCTGTGGAGATGGTTAGTAAAATGGGCATCGCCAAGTTCCCCAGAAAGCAGAGTCAGCTGCAGTCGATGCAGGATGTAGCGTGGCTCTGGGTTGGCAAATCCCAAGGCTCCAGTTGTTCCACTGACCGGGACGCCCACCACAGGCCCCTACCCGGGTGGCATCTGCAGAACTGCAGAACTGGGTGGGGGGGTGGTCTCTGGAGTTTGACCTACCCTTGTGCAAATACAAATGAACTATTTCTTGTGCTTTTGATCAATGAGGACTAAGAGGAGGGGTACACATCTGCCCCCTTTCCAGAACAGTGCTGAGTGGTTCAACTTCAGATTTACTCCAAAACCCACATTTTCCATGGGTGTGTGTGCTTTTGGCTGTAGGAAGCCGTCTGTGGACACGTGAGGCTAATAGGCTGAATTAGCAAGTCTGGAGAGGAGAGCCCATCAGCAGAATGACAAATTTAGGATCTTTAAAGACATCTGGTCAGCGATGCTGGCGCCCGTGATTGAGTGATTAATAATGGAAAACCCTTAGTTGAGTGTTTCCGCCCGCCCTCGCCCACTTCCCCAGCCAGGGCCCGCATCTGCCTCGCATGCCTGAGATGTTTCCAGCTGAACAAGGCAGCCATTTAGGCCTCTGGCCTTTGACCTCTGCCGCGAGTTTAGGGTTTCAGTCGGCCTTCTACTTTCCCAGCTTGTCTCTGTGTGCGTCTGATTGGTGGTGCATGGGCGAAGCTCCAGATCCCAGGTACGTCTGACATGACGCCAATCAGCCAGCCAGGTGCGCACCACGGGCTGCGGCTAGGCAGATCCTGGCACCTCCGGGCCATCCTGACTTGCAGCTTGCGGTTCTGTAAGGACCTGCCCTGGAAGACACAGAGCAATGGGGCCTGTCTGCCAGCTCTCCTCTGTTCTCTGAAGCCACCACTTCTCAGGCCCATCTCTAATGCCGATTTTTTTCCCCCTCCAGGCTCAGGCAGCTGGACGGGCAAAGCCAGGCCACAGCCCAGCAGCTGGTGCAGCTCCTCAACAAGCAAAACCAACTTCTCCTGGAGAGACAGAACCTGGCGGAAGAAGTGGACCGGCTACGGACACAGGTACCGGACTGGCTAGCCACGGTCCTGGGACACAGAGTGGCTCAGTGTCATGATCCTCTTCCTCTGTGCACCTCAAGCAGGCAAAACTTCCCCCTGAGCACGTAGGGGAAGCTCGTCACCTACAAGGGCAAAACCAAAGGTTATGTGTGTGGGGGGGAGGGCACAATGGGGGCCATAGCTGCAGACACTGCGGCCTGACCTTGTAAAGGAACTAAAGCCTGCTCGGGGGAAATCTGCAAGCCACACCATGTGCTGAGCGCATCCTGCAGACAGCACAGCTGCGCAGAAGGGAACTAGGCCTGCAGTGGGCGGGTCCGCCTCGCGGAGGAGGGTGGCCTAGAACCACCCCTGACGGAGGGGTGAAGGAGAAGGAAGAGGGTGTTACCGATTCGCAGTCACCGTGGGTGGAATGCAGAAGGAGCCTTGTCCTGAAGTAGCCGGCAGGGACGGGCATATAGAGCGCCCGGCAGCATCCTGCTTAGGAACACGCATTCTCTTTACGGACCTAATGCGCGCCGTCCACAGAGAGGGACAGGGTGGCTCTGGGAGGGACATGAAGGGCAGGCAAAGGCCACGGCTGACTCCACAGCACCATTCAGGTTAGCTAGAGGGTCGGCGGTGGGACTCAGAGAAGTGGCCAGGAGGTTTTGGAGTGTGAACTGGAATGTCTCAGAATCCCTTCTCCTTGTCAGAGGTTGTGCGTTTTGCCCCATCAAGCAATCTGTTAGGATAATGAGGTGGTCTGTGGGCTGGCTGTGGGCTTGCCTTTAATTAGGATTGCACCCAGGTGCTGCACGCCCACCCTGGGGACTTCACACAGTCAGAGCCTGGAGTGATTAATGGGAAAAATGCATCAGGATAAGAAAATGGTGAGGAATTGCCCTGCATCCTCCTGTCAGAATGACCGTGTGCCCCAGTGCTGGGGAGGGGCCTGAGCCTGTGTCCCTCGGCAGCGCTCCTCCACAGGTCAGAGCACAGCTGCCTGCTGAGCGCTGGGCTCCGGCTGCAGGTGCAAACCCAACTCTGCTGTGATCGGCAGGTGGGAACGGATGCTCCGAGGCTGGCCTCACACCGTGCTGCACGCAGACCAAGGCAGCATTGGCAGGGAGCAGGGCCCACAAACCTGCATTCTGACAAGCAGCTGAGTTCCTTATGGGGGCGGTGCATTTGGAGAGCCTGCGAGGTGTTTGGAGCCGGGAGGGAAAGAATGATTGCAGTTGGATGCTGTCACGTGGGCCTCTGAGCCTCAGCTCTCCCATCTGTACAGTGGACATCAAGGGAGCTGGGGGGTGTGTGGGTGCAGTGTGGGCTGCGCTTGCGGCTCTTGTGGTGCTTGCGGCTCTTGCTTTTCCTAAGAAATGTCGGAGCTTCCCTTCCCCTCCTCCCTCCTGCCCTGAGAAGCAGTTGGGAGGTGACCCTTGCAGTGGGGGGAGGTGGAGACGCAGGGATGGCAGAGGCCAGCCTGTGGGGCGGCAGCCGTAGGCTGAGCCGTGTTTTATCACTCCTCTCCCGTTGCTTCCTGGGTGTGCTGCATGCCTGACCCCTCACCCAACCAGCCCAGCTATGTAGGTGGGTTCCCTGAGATGACCCAGACCATGCAGCCTGGGGCCAGGCCACAGGGACCACTGGCTGTCTAGGGAGGTGATGAGACTCCCTACCTGTGACCATGCCCCGGTGACACTCGGCCTCTAGAGCACAGGGTGTCAGAGCTGAGCAGAGGAAAGCCTCCCTGGAAGGTTGGAGTGCACCACCGTTCTCTGAATTCTGGACCAGATCCTGGCAACCGGGCCTCGCCTTCCGCCTTCCCACACCCCTCTGCCTCCTGCCTAGGAGCTCAGCTCACACCCCTGTGGCTCAGAGCCCCTTCCAGGAGTTTGCAAAAAACCTGGTGGTTGACGAATGAATGAACTAACGACAGGATTTTCACAAAGCCCATTAAGAACAGACAAAACCCTCAACCCTCAAAACTAGCAGGGCTTTCTTCTCTTGCCTGAAGCACCAAAGGATTTCCCCTTCTTGTGCTATGTGACACCTGCCCATCTGGCTCCGCCCCCAGGGGCCTTTCAGATATTGCGCCTGGAGATGCTGTGAATGGGACAAGAGAAAATGGGTAGAGGGAGATGTTGGCCTTGAGTAGCTCATGCTAGTGGTTAAAGAGGAGGCCAGGCTGTGGTTTCGGAGTGCTTGTGGAGCGTCCAATCCCTACGCCTGCTCTTCTGCAGCGTCACTTTAGCCCCTCCCGTCGGGGCTGTCTGTGGACCTAGGCCTTGGAGTGAACTTGAGTCTGCTCAGGTTCAGCAGGTCACGGTTGCAGCTGGCTCGCCTCGGTCAGTGCCTTTTCACCGACAGTACTGAGTGGTAGATCAGAGAGACAGAAGTGGGGCCAGCCAAGCCAGATTTATTGACGCATGTCCCAGGGAGGACCTGGCTGGCAGAGAGCTCACGGCCCCCTCTTCCTGGTCTGTGGCTTTTACCGTTCGTGCCCGTGGGGCCTTGATCGGTGACATGGCCATGATGCTCACGATGGCGTTTGTGATTGACATCTGGGAGTTGCGTACGCTTGGACTCTGCACTCTAGACTTTCCTGTTTTGCCTGGGCTCCATTACGTCAGACGCTCGCCGGGGTGGAGACCGTGTCTCTCTGCCAAGGGCCATTTGGATGTTAATAAAAATGATCAGTTAACAATTAGCCTGCTCTAGATGTCCTGAATTTTGATTCCCACCTGTGGCTGCCTTGGCAGGGCCGTACCAGATGATTTCAAGGGCCTTACTTACGTAGCGTGCAGGCCAGATGTTCCCCACCCCTGCAACTACAAACTGGTTGACAAGGTGGGTGGTCTTGGGTGCTGTCTGGGGAGAGCAGGGTCCTTGGGTTCACCATGGCCTAGGGTCTTGTGGTCCCTCTCCAGTCACTTGTGTCTAATTATCTCCCTGACTAGTGAGCGTGGAGGTGAGGCCGACTGCCGTATGATCCTAGGCAGGTCTGTGGAAGGACGCCAGCCCCTGGTGCCCTAGCCACCAGCTACTCTCTGACCCCAAGGCTCAGGCACTGGACCCTTACAGCTGCCGAGCTGCCTTCAGATCTGGTGTAGCTCCAGGCACCCGTTTTCTCGGTGTATAATCATTTTACAAGTCAAACTAAGAATCTCTTTCTGTGCAGAGCCCAAAAGAGAATGGCTATTTTCTGGTGCAGACAGCTGCAGTGAGGCTGAGTCCCACCCCCTGCTTCACGGCCCTGTCCTGAGCCCACTGCCCTGAAGCAGATGGTGGGGGGTGGGTTTGGCCTTGACCTTGGCCTATGGTCCCTGACAGGAAACATCAAGCCTGTTGAGAGGGCTGATTACTCTCCATTGTTTCTGTTTAAATTCTGAAACGGGTGCACGTGTCTAGCACACGGAGCTCATGGCCACAGCTGGCCCGGTGACTCTCCTGGGCCGGGAGAATTGCCACGTGCCCCGAGCGCGCTCCAGTGCATCCAGCCGGGCACCTGGGGCAGCGCTGGGAGCCGGCCACCGGCTCGAGGCTGGTTCCTCAGCTTCGTCTTAGTTCAGGACTGACTGGAAATGATGGTTATATATGAATTTCCTGCTGCCTCTGGCGGGAGGGAACTTGTAGGATGTTACACTTGAATGTTGTGAAGTGGGGACCCTGTAGGGACTACAGAGCCACGGAGGCCCCCTTCCGGCTTAGCCACGCACAGTGCCCTCGGCAGGCCGTGCAGGCTCTGTCGTCGGGGTTCATTCTGGGAGTGAGTGTTGCAGACCCTTCATCAGAGCCACTTCCCGTTGAGAAAACAAGAGTCTGAAGCTGATGTGTTGGGGGTGAAGCCGTTGGCCCTGTGACTTGCAAGCACTCTTGGCAGCAAATGTACTTACTAATTTGACTTAAACTTGTGCACGGATCCAGCAGCCATATGTGATTATATTCAGGATCGTCGACATGATCTCATTCCACCAAAGGAATCAGAGACTAGAGCCACAAACAGGCACCGGAAGCAGCGGCACAGTGCTGAGGGAGGAAGGCGAGGCAGGCTGGACTGCCCGGAAGTGAGGGCTGAGGGCGGCCCTGGGCAGGGCAGCTGGGCCCAGGGGTGCTGCCCGGAGAGGGGGCAGGGGGCCCCCAGTGCAGACTTGCAGGGGGAGCGCCGACTTTTCCTTGCTCCCTCCAGATCTCCTGGGGATTCACCCTGCTGACTTAAGAGTTCCCACAAAGTGAGCTACCTGCTGGACAGATGGTGCAGGGATGGAACGGCAAATCCATCGAACAAAATAAATTAAAAAAGCCTCCTCCTGAACCAAGATTCTTTTTTTTTTTTTGGAAAGAATTCTAAATAGATGAAAACAAACAATTTGATTTCAACCAAATTGTTGTTTTTTTGTTTTTATCCTGATTTTCACCCGAATTGTCAGTCTCAAAAATAAACACTGATACATTCCCAGAAAATATTTTTCAAATAAAAACTGACTCTGTTAAAGTTTGCCCTGATTCTTTCAAAACTGTGTATGAGACACTGTCAACCAAAGTGACTTGCATATTTTTTTTTTAAATAAACTTGAACATATGCAGCTAAAATGGCATTAACTGCCTGCTGCCTGCATTTCTGGCCTGACACGAGACCGGGGCTGCGTCTCCACCAGGAGGCTCCCATGACCCTCGGGGAGGCTTGCTGGAGCATCTTGAATTTGTTGGGTGGTTTTTGTGGTGGTTTGTAACCGAGCACCCTTTGTATGTGTGTGTGATTACTACTGAAAAGCACACGGGCTTCACGCGAGCCAGACTCGCCCCTCTAACGGTTCACTTTGCCCAACACTGCACACTCTGAGAATAAGAACTGTGGAAGCAAACGAGGTTGCATTTTCTGTTGCCTCAGATATGTGCACTCCACTTATTGCTTCCTGAGTCAGACATTACATTTTGCAATAGAAATTCACAATCAAGACTTTAAAGGGAGCTAAATATTTTAATCCAATTAGACAAGTGAACAAAACACTGAATATTGCATGTGGTGTAGATAAGTGGTTCTTGCCTTTAAAAGACTGTAATTCCGTCACATTACAACCCCAAATGTCAATGTTGTCTTTATTTTTAACACTTTGAAACACGAGACAGCCAGAGGCTCTACTCTCTGCTGTGGGTGACACTGTCTGTCCTTTGGGAATTCTTAAACTCTGTTTACCGTGGAAACAGGGTTCCTGTACAACTCAGGCACCTGCCCGCGTGTAGGTGCTGCTGCGCCTCAGGGGACTCCAGGCTGCAAGAGCTCAGAGGGGCCACTTGTGTCCAAGCCTGCTCTGAGCTGGTACCGTACATTCCAGACTTGCATGTGCACAGGCGCCCCGGCCTGGCCAGGACGGCAGATGCTGAGCCCAACTCCGGGGGCTGCTTCCCGCCAGCCGCCCTTTCCCCCCAGGGCAGCCCTGCCTGCGTGTCTGCCTCTTCCTTTCTTCAGCCTCTATGGCTCTGCACCCTTTGGGGCAGCACAGACCCAGGAAGCACAGGGCTCTTTTCCTCTGAGGCCGAGCCTGGCAGCAAGCGGGGGTTGGGAGGATGAATTGCTGCTGCTTGGTGGAGACCTCACCATGAACTCCTGCCCCACTTTGTGGCTTGCCAACGGCCAGATTCCCACAGGGGACTTGACAGAGCTGGACAGGGAGGAGGCACCTGGGTGAGGGGATCAGGCTTGTGCTGGGGAGAGGCGGGGCAGTAGGGTCGAAAGGGTGGCCTGGAGGAGCCACCCTGCTCCTGGGCCCCATTTCCAGAGTTCTGCAGGGCGCCGAGGAAGTCACCTGCTCAGCAAGGTGTGCATCCAGGGCTTCTGGGACATCTGCTCCATATTCCCCTCCACATTGGGCTTGTTAAGCCTCACAGATCTCAAAGCTGGGTGCCCAGGCAGCACTCACAGCCACAGGTAGTCTCACCTTGGGCATTGTGCCTTCAATGCCAAGTCTCAGCTCTGTGCCACTTCAGGGCAACTTCTTAGCTTTCTTACACTTTTGGCAAAATGAACAAAGGCCAGTTTCCCTTTAACAAGGAGCTTTCTCTTTAACTGGAGCCTAGCACCGATGGTGCTGAAGCCGCCGGCAGGCTTGTTAGTGAGCGCGCCGTGGGCTTGGAAGCAGGGTTCTTGTTGCTTACAGACAGAAAGGCAGGCTTGGTATGGTGCTGTGGGGGGACTGGGCAGTGGAGGCACAGGGCAGTGGCCTTGCTCTGGAGAGACCTGGGCCAGGGGGCAGGCAGCCTGGCAGGTGGGGGAGAGGGCCACGCACAGGGCAGCAGCAGGATATGGGTGCTCACTGATGCACATGGCTTGACCTGGCCACACGGGGGGCGGGGGGGGCAAGGTGGCCAGCCACCACCCTGTGAAGAGATGAGGTAGGGTGTGCAGTGGCTGCTGAGGGACTGGAAGCGGCAAAGAGAAACAGCTGTAAGCAGGGCAGGCCTGAGGCTGGGTACCCTCTGGACGGGATGAGGTGGCTCCATCTTTTTCTCTCTCCCTGGTTGTGGCTTGGGAACAAAGCCACAGCCCAGGCTGGGGTGGACCCCCACTGAGTGGTTGCCTGGGGAACAATTCAAGTCACCAGAGCAACTCATTTGTTCAACTGGAACTTTAAGTCAAACTTCAGAAATAAATTAGGCCCAGAAGTCAGGGGTGTGCGGAGAGCAAGGCTATCAGGACTGGGAATGAGAACAGGGACAATGGGTGCGTAGCAGCCTGCTCGCCCAGGGGGCCTCTCTGTCCTCTGCAGGCCTGTGGTCGGGCAGAGCCCGCAGCTGCCAGAGCGCCGGGCAGCTGCCCCACCTGCAAGGCGGAGCGCAGCCGCCCAGAGCGGCCCAGCAGGGCACAGAGGGGAGAGGGTGCCCTAGGGTACAACTGCAAGTGGCGCATGTACCACTCTGCTCTGCACAGCACTGTGCCGGGCTCCTGTACCCGCTTCATGGAAGCAAGCCTGGAGTGCAGGGGAGCTGGGGGAGGGGGTGTCAGAGGAAGTCTTTGTGACCCTGACATGCCTGGGGCAGCACTGAGATGGGCCTTACTACAGACTTGCCCAGGGAGATACGTGTCTGCCCACACTGCTGAGCACTGCGGAGGGATGCTAAGTGTTTGCGGTGTGAAAGTGAGGATGAACTCTGGGTTTTGCATCAAATTGATATGGCAGAAAACCTACAGGGATGGCAAGAGCTGCTCTGCTGTGGGGAGACCGTAGGTGGACCACCATTTGTCCATGCCAAGGGCTGGGGGGGGGGCACGCCTGTAGCCAGTGCCCCGGGGGACTGGATGGTGAGGACTCAGGCACCATGGGGAGAGTGGGCAGGTTCGGAATGGGCAGCACTCTTTCCGTCTCCCTGCAGCCTTCAAGTCTGAATCCTGTGGCTCAATGTTGAGCCTGGCTTTCCCTTGACATACTTGTTCTCCATTTACCTTTGGTATCAAGGTCATTGCAGAGTGAAAGGTGCCATCTCAGGGGCACTGAGGCAGCCTGCCTCACCTGGCAGTGCAGAAAGCCATTTGCCAGCCTTGTGCCCAGCCAGCCCAGGCGAGGCTGAAAGGCAGCTCTGCTCTCCATGGGGACCATGTATGTGATGGTCAGACCAGGTCAGCAGCAGCCTGTGCGCCGTGGGCACCCCGCCAAGGACAGGAAGGGAACCCCGTCTGCTGTGTGGCCCTCCCTGTGGCCACTGGGCAAGGCCTGCAGCACACATGGACCTGAGCACTCCAAGGAAGGTGCTGCCCGTGCCTGGCACAGCGCCAGTGGACTGAGGCCAGTCGCAGCCTCCTGGAGTAGCCCCCATGCACATCACACAGGCCAGGCCATGCACGTTATACCCAGTTGCCTTGTGCCCAGACCATTCACCTCAGACTTGTATACTCCAAAGTGGACACTGAAATCTAGTGGAAATTGAAATGTTAGCTTCCATTATTTTTTCTTTAAATAAAGGCAGTAGGGAGCAGACTTGTAGCTCGGCATGAGTCCCCCCATTGCATGTCAGAGTTCCTGGGTTCCACTCCGGTCCTGCTCCTCACTGCAGCCTCCTGCTTGTCAGAGCCTGGGGTTCATGACCTGACTGCCCCAATTACTGAGGGCATTTGCAGTGTGAACCAACAGAGGGGAGCGTTCTGTCTCTCACATAAGGATTTTAATTTTGTTTTAAAGGCAACAAATTGTGTAAATTTGGACTTCAGGTTCATTCACTGTCCTGGCATGAAACTCCTCAAATAATCGGGGTGAACCATGCTGACAAGAGCCCCCCATGGTTCTGGGGCAGGCAACCATGTCAGAGGGTGGCAGGGCCACTGCCTTCTCCCAAGCGGTTGCCAGCAAGGAAGCAGGCTGGGCGCCTGGCCTGCGCTGCCTTCCTCTCATCTGCTGAAGTGAAAAGTGGAGTCTGGGAAATGTCTTAGCTCGCCTCGCCTCTGGAATTCAGACTCCCAGAGGGGACCGTCACCATCCCCCAGGGCCCCGGACAGTGGCTCTGCTTGTGTCTCCACAGCTGTGGCAGCAGAGCAGGTGGCCTAGCTGCCGGCTCCTCCCCCAGCCCGATGCACAGGAAGTTGTTTGGACACAGACATGTTATCTGCGTGAGAGACCACAGCCCGCCAGATTCCAGGCTGCAGCATGGCACAGGCGGCCTTTCCAACTGGCATGTTGTAATAAACGGTCCACAGCTAAAGTGTGGGATTCAGTTTATATGGTTTCTCCACCAGTTTCTCACCTGTTTTCCTTCTACTTGGACCTACCCAAGTCAGATCACTTTTCGGAAAGCGGATTCTAGGGGCCGCGTTCTCCCGTCCCGCTGCCCATGTCCGAGGCAGCGCTGTGTGCCGTGGGGGGTTTTCACACTCCAAGCCCGACACGCAGTTATTAACCCTCTATTCATCCTGCACAAGGACTCTGGGCTCAAGAACGGGACACAGATGTTCAGTTTATGTGTGATTTCCTCATTTAAAGCAAGAGAAAGGTTTTCTCCCCAAATTTACAAAGTTGTAAAAGGAGATTAATACAGCAAATAAGCAGACAAATCACAGTGAAGAACATGATCTATTTAAACTGACTTTTTATTATTTTTTTTTCCAGTTACCCAGCATGCCACAATCTGATTGCTGACCTGGATGAAACAGAGTGAATAAATGATTTACAAAGAGGTATTTACAGTCATCTGATTTGTACTCATGCCACAGCGCAGCACGGCCTTGGCAGGTGGCAGCACCGGGGCTTTCCGCGGGGCTGGCCCTCTCTGCCAGGCTCACGGTCATTGCCGTCTGACACCAGGAGGAGAGTGCCTTCTGCACTGGGATGCTAAGTAACACACATGAATCACAATAAATGAACTCTTTAAAGACTTGAAGAATGAGGTTTCCTTTTTGCCTTGTAGTGATGAACAAAACACTGAAAAGGCACATTTTTACGAGGCCAAAGGGTATCAAGGACCGAGCTTTGTCCTTGCCATGCGTTCTTCTTCCCTTTCCATGGTCTGTGCAGCACCCTTCCTCTGTGCCTCCCATCAGCGCCCTGCTCCTTCGCGCGGTGGCAGGAGCAGGGGGCTCCCTGGCCTGCCAACACAGACAGGAAAGCAGCTTTGGCTTGATGGCATCAGATATTTTTTCCTCGATAACGCAGTACTTGAGAGGAGCCTAAAAACGTACTTAGTGAAATTAGAAAATTTGTGTAGTTTATCAAATATCTGTACACAGACTATTTTGAGTCTAAAATAGTATTTCTACTATACACAGTTAAGCCCTCACATGCTTAAAGGAATAAACATGATGGATGCTGAAAGTTTTGCATTGTATGTGAGGATGACAATGGAACGCTAAAGGCAAGGCTGTGGTTGGAACAAGTCCCTAGCCTTAGGTGATTCCCCCAGCCAGCAGCTCACCGCCACCACCATCTCAGCCCAGATCCCACGCGACCGCATGTTCAGCCTTGCCTCTCAGGGTCAGGGTTTGGAGGCGGTGCCATGACACACACAGAGAACACTTGAGTCTCTCAAGTGTGTAAAAGGTCCAAGCCTGAAATAGCAGAACTTCTATGCAGATTCAGAAGTTTCTCATTGCATCAAATGTGCTAGACATGAAGGCTGTCACATAAGATATTTTAATTGTCCTTGGTTCTCTTTTAGGTATACTGTGAATAAATTATACATATTCTAAAAATAGCACCTTTAAAGAATTATAGAGGTCACTTTAGTTTAGCCTCCTGGATCTGTCAACCCCAGTGGTTCTGAGAAGAGCATGTGCAAGAACGCCCTCCGATTGGGCCGACACCCACATACATGCCTGACTGACCCTGGTCCCCAAAGCCACTCCTCACTCTGGCTTCCTTCCGGAGCAGAGCCAAGGTTCCACACTAGCTTTATGAGGTAAAATCAGAGAAAGGCCCCGTCCAGAAGGAGTCAACAGAACTCACACTGTAGTCCAGCCAGCCTACCACCTGTCACCCATGCCAAAGTTTGTTAATTTGCTATGAAGTGTTAGAAATCTACTTGAAGACAGGAAGTACGCAGAGCAGTACATTATCAGGAAGACATCAATGATGAGCTACATGCCTTAAGAATCCTGGGTTCGAACTGCTGGCTGTGAAGATGATTAGGGTGTAGTGGGGCAAGCCCTACTCCATCCCTTGCTTCCCAGCAGGTCTGACACCCAGGGCTGAGGGACTGGCAGCTCCCCGGAGGGAGCAGGCAGCCCTTCCTCAATCTACACAGCACACTACTGCCATTTCAGTGAAGGAAAATCCTCTCATGTGTCGTGAGCTACAAGGAATTCACATCTTTTCCTGTCACATTATATACAGGGTAAGTGAATTACCAGGTGGGGCTACTAAAAATTTTTTCCAGGAAGTAAATTTAATTTTCTGTGATTACAGAACCACATCCAACAACAATAAAGAGAGAAGTAGCAGATTGACATAGTGCTTTATTTAAGCTGTCTGTACGAAGGAAAATAATGTGCATCCCTATCATATACGTGTAAAAATACTAAGGATGTACAGTGTACAAAAACAGTTTCTTGTAGTTATTTCACATCCTTGTGGGTCATATACTTAAGGAAATAAACAGTTTTAGTATGACCAACAGTAAGAGTAATACAGTTCTTGGGTTCATAGGTGCGTCTGCTTAAAATCCTTAACCAGATAACTAGATCTTGCGCGGATCTAATGAAAGAGCTAGCAAGGTCAAGAAGTGTCACAAACTATAAAGCTACAGGGAGGTAATTCAATTACCAATTTAGAAGTTTTCTTTTTTATTTAAATAAATACATTTCATGCTTGCCTGTAATGCACTACCAGGAGCAAGATAAGGAAGTTCTACTGTAGACAGTACAAACAGTAGCAGCAAAGTGTGTACACTGAGGTGTGAGTGAGACCCTGCAGTTAGTAAGGAAGGCCTTACCATTGTACTCTAGGAGAAGCAAGTGGCCCCTGCAAGAACCGTCAGCTTGGAGAAGCCAGAAATAAGTATGAGACATGGAAAACAATACTGCAGTAATGCTACGTAATTAGTGTATAGAAAGCAAAGCTGTGAGCAACTCTGCCAACACTCCCAGCAGAAATGGCCAGTTCCCTTCAAGATGGCTGCAGGGGGGGACAAGCGGTTCAGACTTTGCGCTGGGCTGTGGGGCTGGAGTCCCCAGATTCTGACCTGTGTTCTGATAGGATGGTTCCAGGCTTCAAGTCTTCTGCCCGCCAGGATCCCAGGCTACGGCTATGGGCAGCACAAGGAAGTCGGAGTCCTCTCCCTCTACACTCCTTTCTATTTTTCTATTATACCTCCATGCCAGTACATTGAGATCTGTAGTGGAAATACAGGATTCTCAAAAAGAAAGCCAAGAAAACACCTGCATGACATAACGGAATCTAAGAGGGTGAAGTGAATGAACGAACCCCAGGCACAAATACAGGTCAGCTGTGGGAGCAGTCGGCCCAGGGCCCTGCCATCCATCTGCAGGAATCCTCCCTGGTCAAGGTCATGGAAATCATCTCAAGACTGGCAGGGGGAAGGGGAACCAAAACAGGAAGCTATGAGCTTAGTGTATGGGTGTCACGCTTTCCCTCTAAAAGAATAAATGCTTTGAGTATCAGCTAGTCCCAGCTGCCTTCTCAGCGTCTCACCTGTTCCCTCCTTCTATGATGGATGCAAGACAATTTCAAGGATCAACCTTCTAGCTGCTTTCTTGTCAAAGTGAAACATTCAACATAAATCCAAGATTGGGAGGGGAGGGGGAAGCTAAAATTCACTGTAACTTGCTACTCAATACTAAGAATGAACTTCACTCATGTAGAAATATGAAAAATTAGGACAAAATCTACGTCTGACTATGTCTTAGCTGCCTTGGTGAAATGCCCTTCAATCCCCGTCGGCCCCAGAGGCCCACCCACTGCCAGCAGTGGGCTCCGAGCTATAAAGCCACACCTGGAGTGTCAAGAGGCTAAGACATCTGCATCACGACTAGGATTCATTCCACTTAGAAAGTCACTTACTCTTCCATAGAATGCGGTCATGTAACACTATGCCATGCTATCGTTTTCCATTTGGGAGCTGTCAGATAAACACAGGTGCACCTCCGCGATCACACCATGGAGGGGGTGGACTCCTGCTTGCCACAAGAATGGCCCCCAGCGCCTTGGACTTCATTGGTTGCTTTGGAAAATGTCAGCTCCTAGCACCGAAGGGTTGAATCTGAAGATCATCATTAATGAGGGAGAAAGATGAGGTTTGCATGCATGTCCCGACAGTGGGAAGTGCTGGAACTGGGACATGAGTATATATGGGAAAAGAAAGGCTGGGAGTGTTCTTTCTTGGTTTGTTCTCCCTGATGGCTTAATTGAGTAATAAATGTACCATGATCGGAAAGGACACACCAGGTTCTTACCCTTTACTGCCTACTTAGTAAATATTCAAGTTGTGTTCATTTTGCCAAAGAAACTTCCTTTCTTATCATTATTCAGTTCTCGATTTTCTCTGTTACATTACGTTGCCAGGCCATTATAATTCAGTTCTTAAATGAGCAAACATAAACCCCTGCTTCAGTAGCCCCTCCCTTGGCATGGATAATTGGGGATTTTCTAATTTTCAGCACCAAGGGAGTCAAATGATACCATCCCTTTTTCCAAAGCCAAATTCTACTACAATATGTAGTTTCAGAGCCTTATATGTATTTTTTTTCCACCTAGGAGGAAAAGTGCATGATTCTCATAGGCATGTACATTCCTTGCACACAGGTCAAATGAAACTGCAGTAAGTCTATTTAATCTAAGTTGGAGCTGCATCTGCTAACATGACATACAATTCTCATCACTAAAAAATAAATACTACCGCAATATAAACAAAATCAAAAGGACAAAGTTTTAACGTCTGAGCAAAGACTAACTCACGTAGAACTGAAAGTAAAAAATTAAATCTAATAGGCAGACACCCATTTGCCTTGGTGAATACATTTTGGTGAAAAGCAGGATCACTGTGTCTACATTCTTCGGCCATCAGAGGTGATACGTGTCAAGACGGGAAAAGGTTTCCAAGCACAGGGGACAGGTTCTCTGACACAAGCTGCATCCTAAGACCCTCTCCATGACTTTGTGCACAGGCTTTCATGTCTTGGTGGAGCAACGGCCACTTGCCTGAGAAGTCAGGACCGTCAGCATGGGACACGGGGCTTCCTCTGCAATAGCCAACAGGAAATGAAAACATAGTAATATCTGTATCTCAGCCGTTGTTGAGTCCTTCTCCAACGCTTCCTGCCAAGTCCCAGCCCAACCTTAGTGATACCTCACCGACCATACACACCCATCCGATGTGCTTAACAAAAGCTCTCCACATGCACATCCCCACCCTTCCACGACTGCTTGTTCTGAGTTACAAACTAGTTCTTAGTCTAATTAGCTTTTGATTTATCTTCTAGAAAGTTAAAAAATGTACCTTAGATCAGCCTATCACTTAGCCCTCACTGTTAGGGAAAAACAAAAACTAAAAGATCAAAGGTGACAACTGGTGCACAAATGAACATGGTGGGCTCATGACTTCCAAAGATTGTAAAATTACTTCTTAAAGTTGCTATAATAGTCAGACAGTAGCAGCAACAGCATGAGACCTTAGACTGAGATACAATTTCATGCAAAAACAAAAACCAGAGTGTGATTACGT